CTGATCACGTTTTAAAAAAACAATGATAGGTACTTGATTTGTTTTTTCGGACATCGTGTGTTTTAGGATGAAGAAAATCGACACAGGTAGGTGAGTCTGATTCAGAATCAATAATTAGTTTTTCTGAGAAAAAAATGCTTTGTAGTACTTTTCCAAATATGGGTTAATGAAATTGGTCGCAGTTACCCATGATAAGAGTCCATGAATGAATAAATCACTCTCTTGTTGAATGGACATTCCGAATACCTATCCAACAAAATAAAATTCGGAATCGATTTGATAATAACGATTTTACAGGAGTGGTAAGTCCTTAAGGTGATCACACTGTATATATTCTCATTCATATTTTGAATCAATTGCGAAAACAAAGTAATATTGTTCAGTGAATTGAATAAAAAATTATTTCTTTTTACCACGCCGAATCTTAAATAAATCTGCTGAATAGCTAATATGAAAATCGTCTGAAATTAGAAAATGCATTATCATTCATCATAAGAATTTGTTGATTTTCGCTTGTCTCAATCTACAAAAATGCGCCACGAGTAGTGACGGTTCAAGTCCCTATATGAATCACTATTCTATGCTATGTAACTCATTGACAAATAACATTCATATTTAGAACCTACAGCGCAGCACGCCACTGGTAGTCGTGGCCATAGCGACAACAATAAAGCAGTGTTGCCAATAAGGTGGTATAATACCTGTGTGATAAAGAGGTTCGATCGGTAGTCTCTGTCATACTTATAGGGATCGTCATGTAATCATTGGGGCAAAACAAACTTAGTTTTATGAATGAGATGTTGCGTCTCCCTGGGATAATAGGTCTATGGTCGAGATCGATTTTCATAATTTTTGACATGTCATGTTATGTGACTGTGAGTCACGTTTTGAGATGTTTTTGATCATCTTCAGTGTTCCAAAACAACCATGTTACCGCACAATTTTGGTAATAACTTTCCAGAGGTCAGACTGGAAACTACCAGTTTTTTTTTTCAGAAAGATATTCCCTTCAGACATATTTTTCGTTTGAAATAAATAGTTTCTGATCTGATGCATCTTATGCATTTGAAAAAAATGATCTGGTTGAAACATGGCTTGACTGTGGACTCCTGGGATAAAGACAAGTTGATCTTAGCCAACTTACCTATATCCAAAATCGTTTCGTTGAGTTGGTATAAGGAGTTAAAGTTATCACCTTAGGTCCTGAATAATTATCAGTAAATTTGTAACGCGAGAGTTCTTGTAAATCCCGCGAGGACCAGCAACATTATCAGTTTATTCATAATAATAATACATTGTAGCCATGATCAATTAACAGTCCGATTAATCAGATTAATTTTCAAAAATGCGCAGGATGCATCAGATCAAAAATTATTCATTTGCAAATGAACCTCGAGACTAATAAAAAATTAACAGGATACAAAAAATATTTCTGAAGGAAATATTTTTCTAGAAAAAAAATGGAAGTTTCCAGTCTGACCTCTGAAAAGTAATCACCAAATTTGTACGGCAACATGGTTGTTTGAAACACTTGCAGGTTACTCGTAAAGAAAAAAATCGTGTATTCGTGGAAATGGAGGACATGTTGAACACTGATTCAATATTTTATGTTTTTAGACGAATTACTCTCAATTTTCTACTTGTGATTCTTTGTTCAATCGATAACTCCAACACAAGAATAATGATTGTTTTTGAATCCGATTAAATATGTATGTACAGTGTGTTACAATTTGCTCCACCCCACCCCTGTATTTCCTTATTCCTTGGGCGATTCGGATTTTTTTTTCTCATATTATACTCCCCAAAATTATCTACTTCTATCGAGAAAAAAAAATTATCAAACACAATTTCTTGGCCTACTGCGATCACAAAAACTAGAGCAAAATTGAAGAAAACAGATTAGGCATTTTTTTACAAAAATTTCGATAATGGCAATCAATTCGGACTAGTCACAAATACTCCTATATCAATTTTCAAAACAATATCTCATACGGGGTGTTCTTTATTAAGGTTACAATTTTTCAATAATTGCATTTTTCAAGTCACCGTGTATAATGATCTTATAAGAATTTGAATGATACCAGGCATGATGGTAGTCAGGATCAGATCATCTGGCTACAGAGTGAGATAAATAACAAATAAAACCATTAGAAATTCAGATTTTTTCAAGAAATTTAAAGAAAAAACTAAAAAAAAACGTATCAAAAAATAACTTCAAAAAATTATCCAACGAACAAAACAGCAATTATTCAACTCTCATCAGTCCTTCTGCAAACTGTTATCATTCTTTATCGCAATAACACTTCTCTATCTCTAGGCATGAATTTGTAAAAATAATTAAAAGGAGAAATATTGTTACTGTTCAATTCTGATGAATCCTACTGATTGAAAACTATGTGAGAAGCTGGCCATGAATTACGCTTCGCTTTTCTTAAACAACTTTGACAGCTAGTATTATGAAATCTTACAAATCTGAAAGTATTGCGACTTGACTACTAGAAATTAACTCTTCAAGAAAAAGTTTTGATCGTAAGATTAGTAGGAGAAAACATAATTTCTTACAGAGCAGCAGCTGAAGAATTCAATGTAAGACACCCAAATCGTAACCCTATAGATCACAAAATAGTTTCGAGAATAATCAAACAATTCAAACTAACTGGTAATGTTGCAAGTACGATAAAAAGGAGCCAGGAAGAAGAATTGGAAATGAAGCAGCTATACTCGAAAGAATCACAGCTAATCCAAATGCTAGTTTGAGACAAATAGCTATCGACTTGGGACTGAATCACATTCAGGTTTGGAGTGCTGAAAAAGACCAAAAAAGTACCTCTCAAACCTAAATTCCTTCACACACTTGAAGAAGGTGATACTAAAAGAAGAATGTAGTTTTGTTTGTGGTCTCAAGGACATTTTCTGAATGATAACAATATCCTCAAGAATATTTCATTCACAGATGAAGCGACATTCACGACAAATGGAATATTTTCTTCACAGAACTCCAGATATTGGGCATCGGAAAATCCTAACTGGGTTGTTAATTGTAAGAGACAATATTCCGAAAAACTTAATGTCTGGTGTGGAATTTTGAACAATATGATCATTGGACCTTTCTTCTTCGATGGTACGATGAATGCTGACAAATTCCGCCATTTCCTAGAAAATCAGCTATGGGATAGTCTTGAAGAACTTCCAATAAATATACGAAAAGATATTATTTTTCAACTGGATGGTTCTCCGATCCATAACGCCATCACTGTGCGAGCATGGTTGAATCGAAAATTTGCTTTGAAATGGATTGGTCGTAATAGTCCATTAATGCACTGGACTTAACCCCTCTTGATTTTTACTTCTGGGGAAAAGTGAAAGAAAAGGTTTACAAATTCAGGCCAACCAATAGGGAAGAGTTGCGACAAAGGATAATAACAGTTTGTAGAGAGATACAACCAGAAGAATTGATGAGAGTTGTAAATAACGTGAGAAAAAGATATGAAAAATGTATAGAGAATGAAGGAGATTTGATAGAGAATACACACATCTAAACTTGTTGATATAATTGATGTTTTGTTCGTTGTATAATTTTTTGATGTTATTTTTTGATATGTTTTATTCAGTTTTTTCTTTAAATTTCTTGATAAAAAATCTGAATTTCTAATGGTTTTATTCGTTATTTATCTCACTCAGTAGCCAGATGATCTGATCCTGACTACCATCATGCGTGGTATCATTCAAATTCTCATAAGATCATTATACACCGTGACTTGAAAAATGCAATTATTGAAAAATTGTAACCTTAATAAAAAACACCCCGTATGAGATATTGTTTTGAAAATTGATATAGGAGTATTTGTGACTAGTTCGAATCGATTGCCATTATCGAAATTTTTGTAAAAAAATGCCTAATCTGTATTCTTCAATTTTGCTCTAGTTTTTGTGATCGCAGTAGGCCAAGAAATTGTGTTTGATAATTTTTTTTTCTCGACAGAAGTAGATAATTTTGGGGAGTATAATATGAGAAAAAAAAATCCGAATCGCCCAAGGAATAAGGAAATACAGGGGTGGGGTGGAGCAAATTGTAACACACTGTAGGTAATTAATTTTAATAAAATTTATTTTATACGAGAAAATCGAAAATTTGGATTGAAAAATCTAACCCCAAAAACGTTATGTTTGAAACTACTTGGTAAGATCTGTGTAACTACCGCACTAGTCAGATATGAAAAAAAAAATCATGTGATGTGTCAGCTTTCAAAAAATATCTATAAAGAATTTCATTCTGGTGTGGAAAAACATTTGTTCAACACATTGTATCTTGGAAACGATTGCCATTACGAATTTTGTTTACTGAGCAAACCCAACTTCTTTTGCAGTGTTGTACCCACCCTAGCAAGGGGGGCAGGTTTTTTTAAACATCCTGTATAATTGAGGAGGAAAATGTTGGTAAGATTAGGGGATGATCAGGTAAGATGAGGTGAGGTTAGGTTAGGCTAGGTTCGATAAATTGTACTGGTTATCATTGGTCAGGGTAATAGTGTCAGGATATTAGAATTAGGAATATTCTTGGCAGGACATTTGTGAAAAGATATTTTTGGTAGGACATTTGTGACAGGATATTTTTGGAGTAGATATTTAGTCGTAGACCCCAAATTATTTGTGTGAATAGTGCTGGTCGAAAGGTTATGTGTGAAATAAACAATACATTTTTCTCCGTGTATACAGTGGTATTATACAACGAATTTTCAACCATAGGACATCAAGGGCGAAATCAAAGCTTTCACATCTGGACGTTTCGTCATCTGTGGTATAGAGAAGTTTTCCTGATGGTCTTTCTAATTCGATATCAGTCTTTCCAAAATATGATCCAGAAGGAAAACATTTTGGGAGGACTGGTTGTAAACTTTTTCTAGTCACTCTTCTTTTCTCTCAACATTTTTCTCTTAATTCACAAAACAGAAAGATTTAAATATTTTCGTGAAGAGACGATAAATCTGAACCAACTGTTGAATAAGCCATTTAATTTATTGTTGTTGAAAAACAGTGGAGGTATATTTTCAATTGATATAATTACTGGTTTGGTGACGGTTTGGACCAATCAACACTGAGAATAAGATAGTCATAACCATATCCATCCAGAACTGAAATCGCAGTGGCAGCATCATTTCTGAATTTGAAGTGAATGTATGCAAATCCTTTGCATTGACCTGTCACTTTATCCTTAGCTAGATAAAGTTTTTGAATTGGACCGAATGGTTTTACCAGATCTTCTAAATCTGATTCTGTAGTAGAATCACTAAGATTTGCTATCCTTATAGCACAGTAGCTATCATCTCTTCTAGGCATGTTTGGACCATCACCTCGTTTGGAAGCTCCATCTCTCATACTGGGTGGCACATACTTGGAACCTTGTTTTCCAGTATCACCACCAGTTGGTCCTGAAAATAAATACAAAATTTCTCAGGTGAAGAGTATAAAATTCTAATCTGAATTATTCCAAGCATATGTTGAATAATAGTTCAACAATACCCCTTTTCATCACATGTGCAGTTAGTAATTTCGGGACTTTCAACACCAAGACGGCGTATGCAAATTCTTTCCGCGGTATCTTTCATTTTACAAATTTCAACAATAACCAATTTGCATGCATTTACTTATCGTTGGAAATAATCCAGTTTCATACAATTTCAAAAAATTATGGATTGAAAGATGCATACATTAAAAAACGTTGCCATTAATGTTCAGTCTATTAGGACTGCTAGCTGGTGACCGAGCTGGTGACTACCCTACACTGATAAGGACAAAAACCAGAAACCGGTCTGTATGTGTCAAGCGTTTATCTGTCTACAATCTGAAAACAATTGACATTGGGAAAAGAAGCGCATGAATCTGTATTCGTTCATTCGAATCGATGAATAGATTTAGGGAGGATACAATATGTTCTGCGTGAATCAGCCAGGAAAGTAGTTGCTATTCTCCCGTCATCTACCAATGTTGTTTATTTTCTCAACATTTTTGGGGATTACTTTGAGATTTTGATTCTGACTTATATGTATAGTATAGTATCATACATCATTTAAAAAGAGAAAATATCGAGACCAACGAAATGAAAAAGATACAGGATATTCCATTGAAATACATGAGTTTGTATTGTATCTCCGAAACCATACCCCGAAAAATAAAACTGAATACACCAATGGATTCTGCGCAGATTTCTCTGTTAGACGTAATTCTTAGCGAAACATTATTTCCAATAACCTGTTTGATATAGAAGAGAGAAGCAAAAAAATGTTCAAGTTCGTCCTATCTTGATAAAAAACGGAAACAGTTATGCGAAATCTGATTAGGACAGGATCGTGCGAACCGCAAGGCTTTATCTTCAATAACAACCGAGGAACCTGGCAGTCTCAACCAAAATGGGATGCACTGTACCGAGTACACTGTACAATAACTACTCGTGATATTATAGGTGCCTAACTATAAACTATTTATCCAATGAAGTAATTTTCATTCATTCCGTCCAAGGGACTGAACAAAAGAAGTGGACAAAATGCCCATTCTGCTTGAATTATATACAAAACCACTCAAAACATGTGAAAGTAACAATGTTGAACACCAATAGTACCACAGTAATAACAAATTTTGAAGTTTCGCCCTGCAAATGGAGATGATCGAATTCTAGAATTCTGTATCCTATCTGCGCCACTCTGTGAATTTCACTCAAACGCGCATGCATGTTTTCAAATTTACAACTGCTGTTCCATGTATTAAAATGTATCTGGATATATTTAATTATACTTTCGGTATTCAAAACTATCTGAATGGATCTTATTGTACCTAATTATATTCAAGTTCTCTCATTTCAACAAAATTAAAAATTTTTGCACCACAATTTACTGCTTTTTATTTGCTAATTTTTTCCACTTTCCAAAAATAGCAAAAATTGAGTCTATGCCAGCTTCACGAGAAGTTGGCACGGCAACTTTTGCATTTTAACACCGAATGAGGAAATAAATATACCAAATTGTAGTGCTAATTTGTAGCTAATTTGTTCCCCCATTCGAATTTCCGCATTTATCTCTATTACAGGAAAAATAGATTCCATGCCAGCTTCACGAGAAGTTGGCACTGCAACTTTTTCATTTTAACACCGAATTGAGAAACAAATATACCAAATTGTACTGTATAATTTGTTGCTAATTTGTTCCCTCATTCAAATTTCCGAAAATATCTTCTTTACAGAAAAAATTGATTCCATGCCAGCTTCACGAGAAGTTGGCACAGCAACTTTTTCATGTTAATACCGAATTGAGATTCAAATATATCAAATTGTGGTGCTAATTTGTTCCACCATTAAGATTTCCGCAATTATCTTCATTACAGAAAACAGCTGTTTCATCCAGCTGCACCATCATAAGGCTGGCACAACAACCGTCTCTATATGATATGTTGAGCTGTTGAATTCAAAATGATCATACCAGAATGTTCGTTTTCGGATCATGGTGTTCTTGGTTCAATATTTCTGTTGCTCGTTTTTTTTTCAGAAAGTTATGGTGAGAGAAGATCCCATGCTAGACTTATTTTACGAGAACAACATTATCTGTTATGAAAACTCAAAGAGAATCATAACAGAATTTGTTGATTGCTTGTTGCTGATTTTTCCCTTGATAGAATATTCGTTTGAAATATGAGGAGATAAGCTGCTATGCTTTATCCATTTCCCGAGAACTCCGTTTTCTGACATGAAAACTCAAACACAATAATGCCTGGAGAAATATCGATGTCAAAGAAGTCAAAATAATGCTGACAAAAGCAAAAACTCACATGGCCAGAACTCCTCCACATCAGGCAGTGTAGTTTGTTCTTTACAGAAATGCGTAGATTATGAATTATTTACAAGAACTGAGGAATAACACTATTTTATGCAAAATATGAAAATTTTGTCAATTTTTAACTTGCTCTAGTTCCTCACCAGTTAGTCCTACATTCATGAGCAAGAAGAATTATATCTAGAAATTTACATCTTCTTCAACTTTTTATGAGATAGACTTCTCGCTAAAATGTAGTTTCCGAGTTACGGACAAAAACTGAAGAAAGTGCGAAAATTTCGCTATTTTTGCGAATATCTTGGAACACTATAGAAAATCTTGTATGCAAACTTCAGATTCAGATTCAGCACCCCCAAAATACATACAAAACCGCAGAGAAACCGAATACTTGTTTTTTTTTTTTTCAAGGGGATCTTCATTGTTACCGTTTTACTGAGCTATGAGTACTATCTGTAGATTAATCGAGGAGGTGGTACATTCATTTTACTTGATTATTTGGGATTGTTTCTCCTCGTTTCTATAAAATGAAAATATGAGTATTATTTCAATACATGTGTAGTAGGAAAAATCAGATGATCTGCCCCAAAATGTCACTGCATTTAACACTTTTCCATCAGAGAGCCTGAAAGAAAAATCCAATAGCTTGTCAGTGACACTTTGTTTGGAAAAATGTTTGAAGAGAAGAAATATAGATATATAGAAAAATTATCGAATTTTTCCTTATCTTTAGACGTTTCGAGAACGAATCTGCTACCGTTCTCAACATAAAAATGTAAAATATATGTCTTCCAAAATGTTTTTCTTTATAGTTTGACACCTCTCAGTGGCATACTGATGTTGGCATATGGATGAGTAATGATGTTAGTATACAAATGAGTTACAGGATGTTTTTATCAATTGATCTTGAATCTTCCATTTTCATGTTCAGATTTCAGTAGTGAATACCATGTTCTATCAATATCAACTGAACAGGAAGCAATGCTATTGTACTCTTGATATTGTACTTGTGTACATTCATCCTTACCAAGAGAGGTCTCTCCATTTCACCTGTATTTATAGTATACCTTGTGTTTGTGGTAAGTATTATACAGGTGAAACGAAGAGACCGCTCTCAGTAAGGATGAATGAACACAAGTACAATATCAAGAAAAGACATATCGATTAATCAAAGCTAACTGAACATATCCTTACTGAAAATGGACAACTTATGGCACAGTGGAATAATATTAAAATCATAGGAAAGGATAACAACCAAAAGAGAAAAATCAAGAAATCCGCTCGCATTCTTCTGAACGGGGACAATAGCATTGCTTCCTGTTCAGTTGATATAGATAGATGGTATTTATTCACTCTGAAAACTGAACATGAAAATGGTAGATTCCAGATCAGTTGATAAAAACGTCCTCTTACTCATTTGTATACTAACATCATCACTCATCAATTTGCCAACATCAGTATGTCACTGAGAGGTGTCAAACTATAAGAAAAACATTTTCGAAGAAAAATATTTAACATTTTTATGTTGAGAACGGGAGCGGATTCGTTCCCGAAACGTCCAAAGATAAGTAAAAATTCGATATTTTTTCTATATATCTATATTTCTTCTCTTCAAACATTTTTCCAAACAAAGTGTCACTGACAAGCTATTGGATTTTTCTTTTAGGCTCCCAGATAGAAACATGTCACAGTGACATTTTGGGAAAAATTATTTGATTTGTCCTACATATATTAAAATAATACTCATATTTTCATTTTATAGAGATGAGGAGAAAATAAGTGTTTCAAAACTAATCTAGGTAAACTGTCAAATTCAAAATCATCCAAAATTCATTCAAATGTTCGTAGATTTTGTTTTGTATTTTTTTTCTTCATTACAAACTTCATCGCTTCAATTTCAAAAACGCCCTGTAGATATTAGGTATTATTTCAGTTCAATACATACCAGCTGTGGTACCTGCAACACCAGCATTTTTCTTGTCATCTGGTACTTTTCCACCTGCCAACATCGTATCTTTCCATGGGCATTTTGAAGTCCAGTGGTCTCCATTACAAGTACGACACTTGACTACATTCTTATCACCCATGGCTGAAAAGGAATTGAACAGTAATTACTCAGTTCAGAATATATTCATGAATTGTTTTTTATTTCAACAGACAATGGCGCGTTCATAGGAAAATCAAATCGAGTAAAGAGCAAGGTGAAGACAGAAAAAAATGAATGATGAAATTGTATGAAGTACAATGTGCAGTGTTCAAAATATGATGTCTCACTCCCATATTTGTACAAAACACAGCTGTAATACTTCGCAGAACTCGCAGTGCAGAATTTTTCATAACTACTACTACTACTGAGACATACACAAGTACAAAATGCTGTCAATTTTTTTTTCAAATTCGAAAAATTTCTTGAATAGACTTTCTTCATTTTTGGGTGTCCTGGTTATTATGGGTCTTCTAACGAAAACTTGACCCCCCACTTCAACTGGAAAACTGAATCCTCTGTCAGAAATCGCCGGGATCCGTCGATTTTTACACTCGACGAAAGCTTTCTGACAGTTAAACGAACTTGACGTTTTCACCCACCTAACCCCTAGCAATCCTAACTTTGAAATTCCAAATGGAACTACCCTACTGTCAACACGTCATTTCAAAGCTCTTTCTATTACAAATTGTTTTTGGAAACCGGTTGAGATTTGACAGTTATTGAACAAAATCAATACTTGAAAATAATTGTCATATAACTGAAATTCGCGTTATAATTTATAACCAAAGTTACGCGCTCATCAAAAGCTTTTGACCTAATACACAACTACATATTTATTAGAATTTTGGAGGCTATCATCCTATAACTTTCTATGCATTTGGACTTTTTTATGGGGTCATTTGAAATCGCAATTGTAAGCCACGCAACCCATAATACTGAACATGCTGCGTAAGAGAAATATGGAAGAATGCCGATTAATAACACCAGATGTCTTCAGTAATGTTCAAAAAGAATTTTTTCAAAGTTTTTATCATTGTTTGCAAGTTAATGGAGGTCATTTCAAACAATACAATAAAAACTTCAATTTTGCATCAGATTTTTCAATTGTAGACTATTTCATTTTTGGGGAATTGTTTGATACAACAAAATAGAGGGATTTGGATATGGATATAAATTAAAAGCTTTCAAATGATGGGCAATTTGGGTTAGAAATAACAACAACAAACGAGAATGTCGGTTTGTCAAGTATTGATTTTATTCAAAATCTCTGTCAAATTTCAACGGATTTCCAAAAACGATACACCAGAGTATTCACAATGGAAAAGGATTTCAAATGATGTATTGGAAGTAGGTTAGTTCCTTTTGAAATCCCAATGTTGGGTCATCTTATTATAAGGGGGTTCAAGTTTTCGTAGAAAGACCCTGTATATTTGAGACAGGGTTACGGCATGAAAGAGCATTCTGACTGAGCAGGGTACAGGGGTCAGGTGAGGTAAAAGGGCACCTTGCTACCAACAAATACTTCGAAAAATAAACTAAAGATAAAGGTAATAGTGTGTTGGTGTTGATCCTACATGTTGATGAATAAAAAGGGTCAGTGAAAATATATCGAAAAACATTATATCGAAACACAAAATATCGAAAAACCGAATATCGAATGGAAGAAATGTGGAAGAAAGCACTTGTTCGACTCAACACCGAGTCCGAACCAGAGCTAACTCTGCCTTTTGATAGATGATGTTATATGTTACCTTTTTTTGTTAACCATTATCTGTCAGTAAAAGCGATTATTATTATTATTATTATTATTGTTTGTTTTTCATTTCAAGTTGTCAATATTTTTGTAAGTTCAGAATAATTGTTAATGAATATAAAAAATGCCATATTTTCTTGAAACACTTGCATCTTCTCTTCAAGAAAAGATATCGACGTGATTTATGAACCATTTTGTTAAGAAGGAATCACACTTTGTAGCCAACTTATGAAATTTTGAAAAATATGAAAATTCAATTTAAGAAAAATTATTCATGAGGGCTTACAAGGCACAGCAGCTTTTCGTCTGGCGAGCGATGGTAGTGAATTCTGACTATTGAATGACAAAGGGCGCCACTTGATTTGATATAGACAAAACCAAGAAAGTTATAATAAAATTCAGTCTAGCTTCCTGAAAGAGAAATAGAAGAAAAAACACTGTGTGAACTCAGATATTATTTAATGAGGATAAAATTCAGTTTTTTAATACCTACAAGGTAGATTGCTGTCTAAGTATTAAGTAATATGATAGATTTCAAAAATATTCTCAGTAAAAGTTACTAGGTATGACCTGTGTATTTTTAAACCCTGAAAATCCCTTTTATAGTACTATAAGCCGGATGCACATATTATTATTATGCTTAAATTATAAAATGGGCATTTAGCAACCTATTAAATATCATAAAAAAATAATGGTGAAGAATACTAGACATTGAGACATCCTCAAGAAAAAATAATGGTAAACTTCATGGTAAGTATTGACTCAAATTTTTGGATGGCTTTCTTACTCAAGCCACGTGCTAGTAGGGCAATCTAGCAGGGTGGCATCCTGATGGCGTTCTCAGCCTGATTGGCCAGACTATTCAATGGCCAGTCCCCAGAAGGAAGATGGCCCCCTTCTGATGAAGTCTAGCATGTGCGGTCCAGGTCCCAGCCAGCAAGAGGCAGCTTCCAGGTGATGATACTGCGAAGCCTGGTGACACAGCAAAGACTGATGACTCAGCCCAGACAGATAAGCCTGAAGGGACAGGGCAGCCTGAAGATCCTGTGCAGACTGAAGATACAGGGAAGTCTGACGATCCTGTGCAGATTGTAGATCCAGTGGAGCCTGATGAACCTGAGCAGTCCGAAGAGGCAGGGAAGCCTGAAGAACCAGCGCCGGTTGAAGAGCCTGCAGAGCCTGGGATGCCTGCAGAGACGAAAGGGCCTGGAAGGCCTGCAGAGATAAATGAGCCTGGGATGCCTGCAGCGACGAGAGATCCTGCGACGTCTGATGAGGCTTCATATAGCCTCCTGCTCCAGCGATGGAATCTCTCCGTTGAGAGAATAAAATGGCCACGTGGTCGACACGGGGTACCAAAGAGGCCCACAGATCTAACGGAATAGATCCAAATAAATAACCAGCCTCATATGATAGAAGGAATTAACCGCTAGATTTTCAATATTCAAAAACTTACCCCAAGAAGGAAAGGCCTCACTTTTGAAAAGGTTCACCACGAAATAATGAGCGATGCCCATCTTGACGAGAATGAATGTTGAAGTGGCGTCTCGACACTTTGGGAGGGATAGCCTCCTGCGCCTTTTCAGAACTTTACATCCCAAAAACTAACAATAAAAAACAGGATACAACTCATATGCAACCTCTGCGCACTAGAGGAAATACAGGATGGCTTTAAGCGCCCTACATGTGACTAAAATACTGACTTGTGATTCGCCCAAAATGAAATGACAGCTACGAAACAAACGACCATCCCCGACTTCTTCCGACTAGGATTCCACAGGGCCAAAATGAACAGATGCGACACGACCTTGACAAATACACGGAACATTGGTCTGCGCCTTCCAAAGATGACTAGCGCCAGTACCCTGAAAGACATGAAACTATCCTGGCTGCAATAATTCACTTTACCGTCCAACTATTCGCTGCAGGTTCGGTGTAGATCAGGTGCGGGTTAGGTGTAGGTACCCTTGCCCTCATCATTTGACAATTGGCAATCAACTTGATGAAAACGTCTAATATATTTCAATGACAGCTCAACAATAGTAAACAAAACAATAATCATTGAAATTACTGATTTAAGTATAAGGACCATCAAATATAGGAGAACAAGGAAATATACCAGCTAAATAATGCACAGAGGCCAAACACCCATCAAAGTCAAGGTCTTGGAAGAAATCCCTGAAGCACACAAATCACACCCAGACTGAAAGAACATGCTGAACCAGGTGAGTACTTTCTAATTGTTATTTGATCAAATTGTTATATTTATTGGTATTTTCAGGTCGTAGAAGTCTGATCAACTAAAGGATCATCAATACAATCTAGTGTCATGTGAATATGGTATATAAATAAAGAATTTCAGATACAGTGTCTCAATGCTTTTATATGTGAATTATAAAGATGGAACTGAAAATTCGAGGAAAGGCAATTTTCACGTTACACTCCAATACTAAACATAATGAAACTGAGTTTAATTGCTCACTTTTGCCACAGGGCGTTAAGAAGTTGAGGGTAAAAAAGTTACTTTTGTTTTTCCCTGTATAATGATTAGGACAATAGATGTTTTTCGGAACAAAATATCAGGCTGATTTTGCGAAACATAATTCTACGCTTTGGTCGAAGTCGGAAGAGGATTACGAAAGTTACAGGGAGAAAAATTCTGCTAAAAATTTCACTGTCCGGAATTTATTGTCGGGGAGTGTATTTTCACTGACCCGAAGTCTGGGAAGCGATGATGGAGTCAAATATAATACAGACCACTGGAAATGTAAGAATGAGCAAAGCTCATTTGGGATGTAACAGCGGTGGGTAATCCGCTGTCAACATCTATTCATTAATACGTCGTGGATTTCATCTATTCCGATATTAATATTTATACAGGGTGATTCAAACTTCCCGCCCTTGGCATATAACAGGAAAAGGAAAACTGCGAATACAAACAGAAGGGATTTGAATAGCTCTGTGTAAGGTATATTTTCTCTTATTTGATCATATTTCAAATCTTTTCAAAATGGCGGAAATGACATCAGAAAAAATGTTATTTTTACAGTTACAATTTTTTGTCGTAGTATAAATCTCAATTGACCCTGCCGTAACAAAAATCCAGTCGGTCGGGTTTTCGTTTCAATCGGTTTTTATATATTTTTTTTCAAATCACTGCCTCTTTACAATCTACTTCAACACAGAGTATTTAGTAAAATAGTTGAAAGTTTGAGCTTGGAAGTGAGATGCCCTTTGGCATTTTCACTTATAGAACACTAATCACTATTAGTTGTGTTGGAGAATGTCTTCGGGCCAGTTTTTGTTAAATCTTCTGTGAATTGGTCCGTCCCTGTACAGGTTTTCTATT